CTGCCTACAGGTGAACCCTGCCTGGGCCCCCTTCCAGGTGCCACGCTCAAGCCTTCTCACATCATCTTCCACCCGACACTGGCTGACCACTTCCTGCTCATCAGGCCCAATCATATCTGAGAGCTGTCCTGACCCCATGCCAGGCCTCCTTCTAGAAACTTCCCAAGCCTCTAGAGCAGGGGGAGGTATCAGGGAACTGATCTGCAGAGCCCTGACTGAAATATGACCTGGCTGACTCATACCCAGACTGACTCATGCCCAGGCTGCTATTCAGTTTCTGACTAAAAAAACATAGCTAGCTCCCACTGGCTAACTAGAAGGGCACTACACTACCAAAAATAATAGTGTGTGCTGTAAATTGCCTCTAGCATTAATCCTGTTTTTTCTTGCGGACGCTGCCATTTTGCCGAAGCCCAGAGCCCCTGAACAGCACTAAATCTTTGGCCATCAGCAGATAGGCCTCTACATTTTCAGCACAGTGCTGAAAAATAGGGAGCAACTGAGCATGTGCAGAGCAAGGTGAGACAGTGGGGTTGATTTTCTACAACTGGAGAGTGCAAAATCTGGTGCAGCTCTGAATAGAAAACAATCAGCTTCCAGGTTTTCTTTGTCAAAGCTTAATTGTAGAAGCTGAAGTTAGAGGATGATTGGCTACTATGCACAGATGCGCCAGATTTTGCACTCTCTAGTTTTAGTAAATCAATCCCAGTGTATTACTGCATTTTAAACAGTGTAGGCTCTTATTTTTAATGACTTATTTTTCTGACTAAAGATCCACTTTAAGGAATTGAATTAAAATAAAATAGAATTTAAGTTGTAACACTATTTTAAAAAAGCTTATCTACTGCTGAAGCTTTTGGTCAAGCTGTAAGGAATAATTGACCATTGACTACATTTTCTAAGACTCTCTTGAGATAATTCTCATGAAGTTATTTATTGAAAATTTGAAAAAAAAATAAACAATATTTCATCATTTAAAAATACTTTCAAAAAGGGCCTTACTGCAGCTAGAATAACTGTTTCACATGTATACTATGCTGTATATATATATATATATATATATATATATATATATACTTATATCCAGCAGGATTATGGTATTCCTTATCAGTGAAGCCCTGGAGGCAAATTCAAGCTTAACTGGACCACCATAAACTTCTGTTTATTTTATTCAGAAACTTTTTAAAACTTTATTATAAAGTTAAAATAAAGTTGTTCTTGTAATATTCTTGGTGGTTTTGTTATAGCTCTATTTTACATTGCATTTCTTGTATATCTGGGCCCAGACTTCTGACTAAGTTCATATTGTTTGCGGTGTTGGTGTGGGCACAGCAGCCCATCCATTGGAATGGGCTGCCTTGCCTGCATTTCCCGCTAAAAAAAAAAGGTGCATGCACCTTTTCAAAACATAGCATCATGCAATTTCCCTGTGGTTCTTGCACCTACAAAGCCCCTGCAGGTTGAGATACGTGAGAGTGCTATTAAGAATGAATGGCAGCCCTGTGTTTCTCTAGAGAGCAGCGTGATTTGGCTGTGGGTGGTTGTGGATGCGGGAACAGCTGCAATACCCGCAACCACCTGCTTAGCTGTGATCAATTGTAAAATTAGCTTTAGTGTATTGTAGGGTAAGAAATATAAACATTGTATACTAATATAAAATTTGTCTGGTTTATTTGTCTTAAGGGTGTGTTAGAGCTGTTGAGATACCCCAATATTTAAACATATAGTTTCAGAACAATTAATAAATTAGTGGCTCCGATGTTGCTACATATATTACATTTAACCTTTAAAGGAGAAGTATGGGATAGGCTAAATAATTAACAAATATTACCATAATCATGAATCAAGTGTTGTTTTTTTCCTCCCTCCTTTTGTTTCTCCAGCAGGGGCACTTCATCTGTCATGTAGGTCCCAGTAACTGTCTATTTGCTGCTTGAAAGTTTAGAGGGGGCTGTTACAACCTCAGCAATCCACCCCCTCCTTCTGTCCCTCCTTAATTAGGAAATGTGAATGTGCCTACTGAACAGGCACACACCTTAACAGTAGACAAGTTTAGTCAATGTTCTATATACCTCTGCATAAATGTGGAAAATACATAGTTGGTAAGGACATGGCTGGATCTAGGGGGATGTGTTGGGGAGGGCTGTGCCCCTCCTTCCAGATTTTAGTTGCACCCTCCATCCTCCATGGGTGCTGTGCCTATTGAGCTCCTTCTAACATCCACATAGTCTGAGCACAGGCAGCATCGCTCTCTCTCCCCTTCCCTCCTCTCACTTGGCACACAGCTCAGATCTATTCTCTTACAGACACCCACTATCTGCACACTGTGTAGCTGCCTGCTGTGCTGCAGTTCTGACCTGTAAAGTTCCCAGATAAGAACAGCTGTGCAACATGGAACCCATCTACACAGTGTGGCTAATGCATTTAGAAGGCAACCCCATCTTCTTCAGAGCCACTTTTGAAGCCTTTCAATGACTCCAGTGAGGTCCCCCTGTATTGTGGACTGTGCCGAATCAAGGACCACTGGGCTATAGTTGAGTAGTTTGATGAGCGATTTTTATTCATATGCGTGTGAGTACATTTTATGTTGACCCTAAATATGTTTTGTGGCATAATGCACTAGGCTGGTGTGCCCGTTTTTGTTTGTTTTTTTTTGTAGTGGCTTCAGGACATATGCAGTCCTACAAAGCAGCAATTCCCTAGTGACATGGAGTTTTCTTCTATTCTTATGCCAGGCTAACACACTTATGCCCAGGAGGCATTTTATCTATACACTAAATAGTATTTACAATGCAATGTACAGTATAAGTACAGTGGGTTGCATGATACTTACAAATTACAACCCAATTCCCAAAAAAGTTCGGACACTGTCTACATAATAGAATGCATTAATTTGCAAATTTCGTAAACCCAAATTTTATTCACAATAGAAAACATATCAAATGTCTAAACTGAGAAAATTTACCATTTTAAGAAAAAAATAAGATAATTTCAAAATTGATGGCAGCAACACGTCTTAAAAAAGTTGGGGCAGGGCTAAGTTTACCACTGTGTAGCATCCAATCTTATTTTAGCAACGCTCTGTAAACACACTTGCTGAAGTTTTGGAGGAGGAATGTTGCCCCATTCTTGCCTGATATAGGAATCTAACTCCCCAACACTCCTGGGTCTTCTTTGTTGTATTTTTAGTTTCAAGATGCACAAAATATTTTCAGTTGGTGAAAGGTCTGGACTGCATGTAAGCACCCAGACTCCTCCATTATCAAGCCATGTTATTGTCATAGAGGCAGTATGTGGTTTAGCATCGTCCTGCTGAAATATGTAAGGCCTTTCCTGAAAAATACATCATCTGGATCAGCATATGCTGCTCTAAAATGTGGATATATCTTTCAGCGTTGATGGTACCTTTTTCAGATGTGTAAGCTGCTCATTCCACACACATAAATGCACCCCATACCATTAGAGATTCAGGCTTTTGAACTGAGCACTGAAAACAATCTGGGAGATCCCTCTCCTCCTTTGTTCGGAGGATGTGTCGCCTATGGTTGACAAAAAAGAATGTCAAATTTCAATTCGTCTAACTACAGAATAGTTTCCACTTTGCAACAGACCATTTTAAATGGGCTTTGACCTAGAGAAGATGGCATGGTTTCTGGATCATGTTCAGATATGACTTCTTCTTTGCATGATAGATCTTTACCTTGCATTTATGGATGGCACGGCGAACTGCGTTCACAGACAGTGATTTTTGGAAATATTCCTGAGCCAATGTAGAGATACCCATCACAGAATCATCGGCTGATGAGGGAGGTGTGATTTGGCCTCCGAAACACGTCCTGATTGGTCACAGCATCCTGGACGCTAGGCAGCTCCTTGGACAGCTCTCTGACAGATCTGGTCTCCAGCTGGGGGCTCACCGGTGGCTTGCTTGGATGCCAGCTTTGGCTTCACAGTACTCCTGACAGTGGCACAAAAGTGGACTGGACTCTGGACTGATGTCTCCATTTGGAGCTCAATTCAATGCTCATTACCAGCGATGTCTGTGAGTGCTTAAATATTGCATTTTATAGCCTTTTTTAATTTAATAAAATTTGCTACACTATTGGTGGCTTGGCACCTCTCTCCCCATCTCATCACAAAATCATGCCCGTTTTTAATGCAGTGCCATCTGAGGGCTCATGGGCATCCAATATAGTTTTACAGTCTTGTCACTTGCGCATAGAGATTTCTCCATATTCTTGGAATCTTTTGATGATATTATATACTGCAGATAATGATACTGTATATTTAAAGTCTTTGCAATTTTACATTGAGAAACATTATACTAAAATTGTTTGATAAATTTTAGATGCAGCTTTTCACAGATTGGTGAATCGCTGCCCATCTCTACGTCCAAGACACTCTGACTCTCTAAAATACCCTTTTATACCCAATCATGTTACTGACCTGTTGCAAATTAACCCAATTAGTTGCAAAATGTTCTTCCAACTCATTCTTGTTAGTACCGCTTACTTTGCCAACTTTTTGTTGCCTTGTCTTAACTGTTTTGAGATGTGTTGCTGGCATCAATTTCAAATTGACCTTATTTTTTTTCTTAAAATGGTACATTTTCTCAGTTTAAACTTTTAGTCTGTTTTCTATTTCCTATTGTGAATAAAATATGTAGTTTTGAGATTTGCAAATCATTGCATTCTTTTCTTATGTAGATTTTACACAGCATCCCAATTTTTTTTTTGAACTGAGGATGTTACACACAAAACCATATTTACGATAAAATGTGCTGTACATGTATGAAGCTAGTTCACTTCTCAGCTTCAGGTCTGGTCATTCTGAGTGCTTGTGTGTCCCAGGGCAAAGAGAAAACACATCTTGGTAACAATTCATTATATTCCTCTCTCCTTTCTCTACAGTGGCTACTATAATGCTCTCTAATTGGTCATCACTGCTAGCAAATGTATATGGGTGAAGCTTAATTGGAGAATTCAAAGAAGGCGGCTGTTTACAACCCATGTGAGATGTGATAAGGAAAAACAATACCCAGGCCTTGGAAGTAGAAAAATATTTACAGTGACACCAATTCGGAAAGCTAGGAGTGATATAATAGAGAAACACACTCTAGGGCCCGGGGTCAGTAGGGGGCCCCATGAGATGCCCCTGGTACCTTTTTTCATAGGCTTTTTTGAGTTTGGGAAAGGACACAGGGGCCCCATGATCCCCTATTGCCCCGGGGGCCCCATGAGTTGTCAGTCCGCCCCTGCTCAGTGGTTTAACTATATTCACATCTACCTAAAATGTATTCCTAATTACAATATCATTTATATCTGTTAAGGAAGATTTCACATAAACCATCATATCAGCCTTTTTCAACCAGGGTGCCCAGGCATCTTCAGGTGTACCTTGGCAAAATGCCTAAAAATTGCCCAGCAATTGTAAACAAGCCAGCAGGTTGATCAAGCCTGCCTTTTAGTTACACATAGCCACAGGTTTTCATTGTGAACCATTACAACTTTCTAGCCACTGATGACATAAAAATCAATGATGTCTTCATCTAATAAGAAGGCCATCGGGCCCCTGCACAGCATCCTTGCTTGCCCCTCCCCTGCCCCTTTCCATCAGCACTGCAGTCACATTAGCTCAGTGAGAAAGAAAAACTGAGGGAGAAGAGAAACAATGGAATACTAGTCAGTACCAGTTTACATAGGTGTATTTACTTTGGAAGAGTAAATCACCTCTGACATTGGGTGCCCCACATGTGCAAATGTTGCTACGTTCTGTAAAACTATTAGTTTAGTTTTTACACTTTGTAATGATGCTTCAAGATTGTGCAGCATTTTAAAGGGTGCCTTGAGATTGTGCAGAATTTTAAAGGGTGCCTTGAGATTCTGCAGAATTTTAAAGGGTGCCTTGAGATTGTGCAGAATTTTAAAGGGTGCCTTGAGATTGTGTAGAATTGTAAAGGGTGCCTTGAGATTGTGCAGAATATTAAAGAGTGCCTTGAGATGGTGCAGAATTTTAAAGGGTGCCTTGATTGAAAAGAGGTTGAGAAAACACTGCACCATATTGTAACAATGAGCTCCTGGTTTTACTGGTTTGGGTGTTTGCCCGTTGCCCCAATACCAGACTCTTAGCCAATTCGGCAGAAACTTTTTCTCCTGCTACTATAAACGTACAGTATGATAGCTGTCTTCTTCTGTCAATAGTTGTTAAGAAGGTGGTGGGTACCTGCACATGTCACATCCTTAGCAATTAGTGATATTATCTGGCTCCATTCAGTAAATGAAAAAGAACTGCAAGGAGTTATTCCCATAATTCATAACAGGCTCTTATCCAAGCATGCAACCTGGTTGGTCAGAAAATGGGGGAGGATGAGCATGCACCACTGCGCCCATCCTGAACCAGTTGAGGTCACATGCTCTCAACATGGGGGGTACCTTGCCAGGGAAGACCCCCTGGCAAAGCACCTTGTCACCATGTTCATGAGGACAAGGGCTTCTTCCCCACAGCCCTTTAACAATAATACTGCCACTGCCCCCTCAGACATCCACAACCACTGGGCCAGGGTTGTGGGGAAGAGGCTCTTGTATTCATTAACATGGGGACAGGGTGCTTTGGCAGGGTTGTTGAGAGCATGTGGCCTGTATGGTTGTGGAGTGGGGGTTGCACATTTGACCCCCCTCACTTTCCTGCCTGCCAGGTTACATGCTCAGATAAAGGTCTGATATGGATTTTTGGGGGTTGTTCAAAAAGGGCTTGTGTAATCGGGCAAATGCATTTTGCTTTCAACTTCAGTTTGAGAAGCTTCTGAGATCCTTCAATATTCATTGAAAGTTTCATTTCACCTGCAGTTGACCTCCTTCTAAACTGCATTTGACCTGCTTCAATCAACTTTGGCATTTTTAGATTTGCACGGGAGGTTTTACATGAACAAAAACCCACTAAAGCACAAAAGAGAGAGGCAGCAGGGACACAGACAGCAATGAAAACCTTACAGAAGTTTTAGTCCTCTCCAACTCTATCCAAATCTAATGGCTTTACATACACTTTATTAAAAACTGAATTCAAGCACGAGAAAATAAATGTCATCTCACCAGGTAAAAATGGTTATAGCAATGAAATGTATTTTTCCAATTGTCTCATTGGGTTTTGACACTTTCCACACTGTTCTTTCGCTTGTTAGAAATTGTGTCGATATGACAATTTTAACTCAGATGAAACCAATGAAGCTCCATTCAAAGTTTTTGAATGTAAAACCACAACACAGTTTCACAGAGACGTCTGGAAGAGATATGCAAATATCTTAGTTGATTGATTTGCTGATTTGGTTAATAAGTTACTAGCACTACATTCCAGTTCTGGAAGCCTCCCTGCTGTCTATATGATTTATAGAGGTAAGAGTTTCCTTCGACTCATCAAACAATAAGATAGTGCTGGCTATACGGATGTCAGAGAGGAAACCACAGACTACCAGAGAACAGTGGAAAGCCCACAGAGCTGGCTATATAATGCCGGGGTCCCAACCTGATGTACAAGTTATACCAATTACCTACTGCACAGCTCAGAGCACCTACCTGCTGTACAGCTCAGAACTTCTACCTGCTGTACAACTTAGAGCATCTACCTGCTGCAGAGACACTAGCATACAGGAAACAGAAGAACTATGGACAACACAAGAGCCACCATGGTGAGGACCACTTTAATGACCTTTATTTAATTTTAGTTTTCTTGATTAGAAATTATTATTATTACACAGGATTTATATAGCGCCAACAGTTTGCACAGCACTTTTCAATATAAGGGAGACAGTACAATTACAATACATTTATGTACAGAAGGAATAGGAGGTCCCTGCTCGTGGAGCTTACAATCTAAAGGAAGAGGGAGGAGGTACCAGGGCTGTAGATAATTTTTTTTTCTTGGGGGGGGGTTCAGATTGCAGCTGAGCTGCATTTTTGCCACTTCCCCCCACAAACTTCTCCCCCTTGAAGGAAGGAAGGGAGGGGTGGAAGGAAGGAAGGGAGGGATGGGTGAAAGAAAGGGGTGGGTGGAAGGAAGGAAGGGAGGCTGGGTGGAAGGAAAGGGTGGGTGGAAGGAAGGAAGGGGTGGATGGAAGGAAGGAAGGGAGGGTGGGTGGAAGGAAGGGGTGAGTAGAAGGAAGGGAGGGGTGGGTGTTAAGAAGGAAGGAAAGGTGGGTGGAAGGAAGGAAGGGGTGGATGGAAGAAAGGAAGGGAGCGGTGAGTGGAAGGAAGGAAGGGTGGGTGGAAGGAAGGAAGTAGTGGATGGAAGAAAGGAAGGAGGGGTGGGTGGAAGGAAGAAAGGCTGGGTGGAAGGAAGGAAGGGGTCGATGGAAGGAAGGGAGGGGGGTGGATGGAACGAAGGGGGTGGGTGGAAGGAAGGAAGGAGTGGGTAGAAGGAAGGAAGGGTGGGTGGAAGAAAGGGGTGCATGGAAGGAAGGGGTGGATGGAAGGAAGGAATGGAGAGGTGGGTGGAAGAAAGAAAGGGAGGGGTGGGTAGAAGGAAGGAAGGGAGGGGTGGGTGACAGGAAGGAAGGGTGGGTGGAAGGAAAGGAGGGGAGGAAGGAAGGAAGGGTGGGGGGGGGTGGAAGGAAGGAAGGGAGGGGTTGGTGGAAGAAAGGAAGGGAGGGGTGGAAAGAAGGAAGGGAGGGGTAGGTGGAAGGAAGGAAGGGTGGGTGGAAGGAAGGAAGGGTAGGTGGAAGAAAGAAAGGAAGCAAGGGAGGGGTGGGTGGAAGAAGGAAGGAAGGAAGGGAGGGGTGGGGGGTGGAAGGAAGGAAGGGAGGGGTGGGTGGAAGGAAGGGAGGGAGGGTTGGGTGGAAGGAAGGGAGGGAGGGAGGGTTGGGTGGAAGAAAGGGAGGAAGGGGAGGGTGGAAGGAAGGAAGGAAGGGAGGAGTGGGTGGAAGGAAGGAGGTGAGGTGTGGGTGAAAAAAAGGTTAGGTCGGACTCACCATGACTACTTCAGATGCATCAGAGCTGTCAGCTTCTGTGTTCACCTTCCCACCCACACCTCCTCTGAAGCTGCACTGACTGGACTGTGGGCCAGCACAGGGGGAGGCAGAGCAGATCCTGCCTCTCTCCCCTCTTCTCCTATTGGTGCAAAGGATGGAGGGAGGGGCTGGGCACACAGTGGCAGTGGGGGGTAGAGGGGGGGCCATAAAGAAAACAGAATGATCAGGTATGTTCTTTGCAGTGGTGGGGGAGGTGACCAACAATGATCTCCTGTATGGCTTTCAATGAAGCAGCTGGAAGCCGCATCTCCTCTTCTCCCTCCCACGGCTTCCAGCTGCCATACAGGTTATTGCTGCTTGTCACCGCCCATACTGTCGCCCCTCCCACACACCCCTAGTCCCGGCGCTGTTCGCCCCCACCTTAAATTTCACGGGCTGCAGGAATGGTTGGCAACTTTCCTCTGGGGGAATTCAGAACCCCCTGCCCCCCCTTATCTATGCCTCTGGGTGGTACAAAAGTGATAGCTGCAGGGGATGATTTGATGGAGGTGGCACAAGTACAGTTCATAGGTGGAGGTGGGGTAGGCTTTCCTAAATAAGTGAGTTTTTAAAGATCCCCTAAAGACAGACAGGGTGGAGGCTGACCAGGAGTTCCTGAGGATGGGAGAGGCTCTGGAAAAGTCCTGGAGGCAAGCGTGGGAGGAGGTAACAAGGGAGCTAGAAAGCAAGAAGTCTTGGGAGGAGCAGCGTGGGCTTTGCCCTATACCTGTGGGTATACCTGTGGTATAGGGCGAAAGTGATGTCAGCTTGGGGGCGGACCACCTATCCATCTCCTCCAGCCTTGTGAGCACCGCAAGCGGCCATGCATTCCATGCCTGATCAGATAATGCCTTTCTAACACAAAAGGAAGTCTTTGATCGCTGGGAAAATCGCAAAAAAGCACAGGGGCCTAACAAAAAGGAAAAAAGTGAGGGGAGCTTACCTGTATAATAAGTGTCTGGGCAGAATAAATTATAATCCACTGTGCCAAGCCAACGGTTTTATATCCAGTACGTGTTGGTCATTACTCAAGGCGTTCAGCACTGCAGACAAATGACAGCTTTGGAGCAGTGGGGGAAAACTGCATGCGATTTGGACAGGAATTGCACTGCATTCCTGTTTAAATCGCATGCGATTCTTTGCAGTGTGATTTGAGCACATTTGTTTTCTATGGGTTCAAATCGCACTGCAAATGTATCTGTACTTGGTATCGGCGAGTACTTGACCGAAAGTATCGGTACTCGCTGGTAAAAAAAACGGTGTCGGTGCATCCCTAATGGAAATCTTGCAAAATTTCTTTGTGAGTATAATAATAAAATAATCTTTAATTATGGGAGTTTCACAAAAAATATTTTTATCTGCTACTCCAATCCGACATTTTTATGTGATAAATTGATTTTTTTTAAAGAGAATCCATTGGTTGCTGGTTTACTAAACAAAAAAGTATACATTCTTCACTAACAAAAGTGAATGATCACTTTTGTTATGAGGTTGATATAAATGTAGCTTTATTATTTTTTACTAAGCTCAGCATATGTTACTTACTTTTTGTGAATTTAATGGCCTCTACTCTAGGAAATCTCCATCATTAACAGGTCTTTTCTTTCTCAGATCCAGCTCACTGTACTGATTTTGCTCCTGGGAGACTCCTTGTTGATCCCTATTGCAGCTCTGGATCTCCATCATCTGAAGAAAGGAGGGTGTCTGCCTGGTACAAAGTTCCCCTCATCAGTAAAAGTTAATCTGAACATTAATGGACAGGATGCTCCCGCCAGAAGTGGTGATGTGCGAAAACGCTCCATCTCTCCATGGGAGTACAAGTAAGTCTTTCCTTCTGCCATAGATCAAAAATGCAACTATTAGCGGAGAGGTATGAAATATGTGTGGCAGCTTTTTCCTAAATGCATATTTGTAATTCGTTTTCGCTTACATTTTCATTGTTTGTAAAGTAAATAATTAGAAACATTTTGTCTTTTATTAAAAGTCTTTTGCAACTATATACCCTAAGTGTCCTTTAGAGCACCAAGGACTGGTTTCATGGCAGCCAATTTTCCTGGGGACCGGGGGGGGGAAGGGGTGCTGGTTGTGTGCTCTAGGGCCATTGGTGATGAGATATTTGCGGAGCTGGTCCTCAGTCCCCCTTTACATCACAGTTCCCCCTTTACATTATACAGATGAGTGCTCTTTCGCTACACTATCCATTCACCACAAAGTGCACCAAAGCCTGGTGGCAGGCACTTAAAAAGGCTCTGCAGACCCAAGATGGCCACCAGGGTCACCTGGATACTGCATAGCTAATCGGGATGCTGCCTCCAGGGACCAGGAAACCATAGAGAAACCAGGTTTCTCCTGACTTTCTCTCCGGCTGCAGTACTGCTCTAGTCGAGCACCACCGGCAGTAGTGCAGACTCCACCTGCCTACAACTATACCTTTAAAATAGACAGATATGAGCTCTTCTACCTGCCAAAGGACTGGTATTTCTGTTCAGCCAGTCCAGAGATTTACACTGCCTTACCACACAGCACACACAAGTATAAAAAACAATTCTGGCAACTCCATTAGATAGACATTAAAATGATAAAGATGTATTCAAAACTTTAAAATAATACTGTAGTGAAACATATTTTTCGGTTTTATCATATTATATTTCTACTTATGTAAACGTCCACCTAAAGAGGCACTATTAACCAAGTAAAAAAAAAAAAATTAACAAAATGAAACGTATGAATAGTAACATCTTTCTGCACTACTCCAAAACCCTGAAAGAAAGAAAGTATACAAATCCAGTCTGTGCAAGAGAGTTTATTTACTAAACGCAAATGTTCACTTTGCAAGGGAATTTTCTCCAGAGCTTAGTGAATTAGGTGAAGCTCTGCTGACTTCCATCATCCAATAATGTGCAAGCAGAAATTGTTTTTTTTTTTTTAGATATTCCTTGCAAATGATCGGGTATTTTTTGAAAAGGGTAATTCCACCAGATTCACTACTATCTGAAAAAATTCCCTTGCAAAGTGAACAGCCTTTTTGACTTTAGTAAATCAACCTCAATGCATTGAAGCTGAAGGATCAGTATGACTAATGCTCAGAACAGGGGCAGACTGACAATCATGGGGCCCCCGGGCAATAGGGGATCATGGGGCCCCTGTGTCCCTACCCAAACTCAACAAAACCTATGAAAAAGGTACAAGGGGCATCTTATGGGGCCCCCTACTGACCCGGGCCCCTGGGCAGTGCCCGAGTTTCCAAATGGTCAGTCCGCCCTTGGCTCAGAAGGAGAGGTCAGTAATGATGACCTCAGAGTTCTTCTCAGCTCAGTAAAATGTATTTAGGTTGTGAATGTAGCCCAGTTGCAGTTGTACCCAGATGACATTAGACATTCTCTGACTAACTTTATTTGTCTGAGGTCACTCCATAATGGCTTACAATGTTTTTCTTACCCACAGCTATGATATAAACAACAATCGATTCCCCTCTACGATTGCTGAGGCCAAGTGTCTCCATACAGGATGTTTGGATGCAGAGGGTAAAGTGGACATTGACCTGAACTCTGTTCCCATCAGACAAGAAATCCTGGTCCTCCATAGGGAGATGAAAAAGGCTGTGTCCCCAACTTCAGGCTGGAGAAGAAGATGGTCACCGTTGGTTGCACCTGTGTCAGACCCATGGTCCAAGAGCACTAGCACACAATGAGAGTGATATTACTGGACTCTGCTAGCATGCCAGGCACATACAGCTCTCTGAAGGAGTAGGGAAGAACAGACCATCAAACATGACCCACTCCCCACAGTTTACCCTCTCACACGGGTTGAACCAGATGGATCTGTCTTTTTTAATCTTATAAATCAGTGTTTTTCAACCGGGAAGCCAGGAAGAGTCTCCAGGGGTGCTGTGGCAAAATTATATAAATTGCCCAAGCTCAAAACAGTCTGATCAGAGAGTGATCCTGTGTACAGACAGGAGGGAGAGAGCACAGTCTGCACCTCCTCCCAGCTCTCTCCTTCTCCCTGCTGCTATCTCTACTCCTGTTGGCAACCCAGGAAGCTGTGTGGACCACTCGTCTGTGCTCTACCAACTGATAATGTCATCAGTTGCTAAGGACAAGCCACTGTCTGATCAGATTGTACAGGGCATTATTCCCTCTTCCTATCTCTTCCTCAAAGAGCTCCTATCTTGGCAGCAAAAGTTGTGGGCAGAGAAAGGTAATCAAGCCCTGCAAAGTCCAATCTGTGTGTGTGTGTTCTGTGTTATCTCTGGTATAGAGACAGGGGGGAGAGGAGCTGGAGGAGGGGGGAGCACAGCCCACATCTCCTCCAACTCTCTCCTCCTCATTGCATTACCCCTGCAGTTTTATGTGTTTTGATGAGGTGTGATTATTAAAATCATGTCAGCACCTTTTTTTGTGTGTTTCACAAGCATAGAGCAGCCCATTAAAAAATGTGACACGCGGGAATGTACAGAAAAGCGAGCTGGCTTGGATGCACCTCCTGGTGGAAAAGAACCCTCAGACCGGATAGCCTGGAATTTTAAAGGGTGTCTTAATCAAACAAAGGTTGAAAAACACTGTTATAAACTATTCCTAATGAACTCAAAGAGTAAATGAAGTAAATAAGAGGAAATCTCTCCACACTAATGGAAATCCTCTGTTAGACAGTTGTCACTGGAATAAACGCACCAGGGGCGGACTGACAACTCATGGGGCCCCCGGGCAATAGGGGATCATGGGGCCCCTGTGTCCTTGCCCAAACTCAAAAAAACCTATGAAAAAGGTACCAGGGACATCTCATGGGGCCCCCTACTGAACCCGGGCCCTCGGGCAGCGCCCGGGTTTCCAAATGGTCAGTCCGCCCCTGAAGCGCACCCATTGGAGGATATCAGCTATATTCCCCTGACATGTCAATTTTTTGGATTATCCCATCACTTTTTGTCCCAAATGGACAATGGTGAGAATAGACAAGGACAAATAGAGAGGTTACATTTCCCCACAGACAACAATAAACACCTGATGGAAGTTCTAATCCTTCCAAACTCCAGCCAAAACAAAAATAAAAAGCTTTGCACACACTAGATGTCAGGTAATTAAAATCAAAAAGGGAAGTGGAGGAGTGAAGTATTCTGTACCATATGGAGGAGATCATGTTGGAGGGTTGGTTAGGAAAGGTAGAAGCTATGCCTGGCTCCTTCAGTGATGAAAGGTTAGTGTAATTTGGAGGTTTCCTGTTAAACACCTACCATAGTTCTCTGTGCCCTCATATATGTTGCATATTAAATTTGCTGCTATTGATGAACTTCTTATATGTTACCATGATAGTACTAGGAGTTTAGGTTTTGGGAGAGTTTGATGTGAACGATTCATTCAAATTCCAAATTACACTAAGCTTCATAGCTGGGGAGGAAACATATAGATTTGGCATATAACACCCCTATCCTAGTCCTTTGCGGAATATATTTTATTGTACAATGACAGGTGCACTTTAAATAGATCCTGTTACCCAGCTATATTGTAGGCTTGACCAGTGACTAAGGCATAGTGCCTATTATCCCACTAGGTGTCTCATGTCTGCTGTGAAGGGGTATATTCCTGGTAATATGAAAGGCTGAGCATTGTCTTTATTATATATTACCAGATATATGTAGAATCAGTAGTACTGATAAACTTTTGTAGCAATGTATGTTGCAAATTTTATAGTAACTATATTTTTAACTATGTATTTATATTATTATTATTATATTCAGTATTTATTAAGTTCGCTCAGCGCTGTACATTACAAAGGGGGACAGAACATGTGACAGAACAATACCAATACAATGCAAAACATGAGGGGATCGATATTATTTATGTGATGTCTACACTTTATTTATTTGACGTAATACAACAATAAAATAATTAAAACAAAGCTGAATGCTGTAAAGTTTTTTTTTTTTTTTTTTAAATAAATGTTACTATAAATTCTGTTCTGCTTTTCTTGTCATGTCATTAAAGGATCAGTCCGCACAAAAGTGACATTGTAGTTATAGATATAGCTTGCTGGTCAGCCCCTGGGTTACATAGTTAGTCTGGCTGAAAAAAATACAAAAGTCCATTCAGTTCAACCATTAAAAAAAAAGTTATAATACTATACCCTGAGAGGCAATCGGATATTCCGTGGATCAACTTTACCTATAAATATTAGTATCCAGTTATATTCTGTGTATCTAGGAAAGAATCTAGGCTTTTAAGGTTTATTTCACTATTTTAAAAAACATACTTGCAAACAGGTTGGACATTGCTTAGTTAGTTAGCAGCAGACCCAGGCTGGGGGGTCTCAGCCAGCCCACCTGTGATATAAAAAGGGGGAAGACTGAGGTCCAGGGAGCTCTTTCCTGCCTAGACTCAAGTTGGAGGAGGGACTGCTGCACTTTACAATCCACTACAGTCACTGAGAGTTCTGGAGGATCACCAGCATTACATGGACATTGCCTGCATGTACTTTGCCTGCATGGACTACCACCGAACAGAGATATGCCTGGGCAGCCACACCACTTTAGTTACAGTAGATTATGGATAAGGACATTGTTCACATTGAACTGTTATGTTGCAACTTGTTTAGTAAAGTTACATTAACGTCTCCAAGCCTGGTCTGAAGTTATTCAAGGGGTGTATAATGTGTCTGACGTATTTAAAAGAACCATCGTCTATATAGCACAAGGGGATATGAAGTCACGCTACATGAGGTTACGCTACATCGAGGTGGGGCTTAACTCAGCAAGTCAAGGAGGAGTCATGCCGTTGCTAAGGCAAACCAAGTACAAAGTTCAAGACGCAAGCAACCAGTCGTAGGTGTGGTCCCTGGTAAGGTGAGAGGTCCTTTGGTAGCAAGGGGGTCACTGCTTTGGCCTCCTGAGTGGTCCATCTCCCATAGCACCCAGGAGCAGATCAGTGTTACGGAGACCCATGACCTGGCCGCAAGGAACACAAAGTGATGGAGTTAATATTGAGCACACATGAGGTCTATGGTAGATGCTCGGTGGGACCCCTTTCTGTTACTGAGAGTTAGGTAACAGAGGTACGCTGGACTGGTGGAGTGGACACAGGCTCAGCATATCCCTCCTAATGAATCACACATCAGTTACAGTGTGGAGTGAAATGGGACAGCACTTTTCAGAGGAACTCTGTATTGTACTGCACACAGTGTGAATGCTCATCTCTGAGTCAGGGAACTGCCTTAATGTTAGATTCTGCACATGACTGCAGTGTACGTCTTGCCCTGGGCATTGATGAGTGCGCTTCATACGTACACCACTAAAGGTACCCCACATGCATGGGTGTCCATACTGTGTGGGCAAGGGGCCCCAAGTTTACAAAACATTGTGGAGCTTAGAAAAATGGAGCTTAGTTTACATATATGAAGCCCAAGCTTCCCCAAAGACTGGACAAAAAACTAACTTAAAAAATGCAAGGTATTGCCAATATGGAATTGCTGGGGGAAAATTATAATTCCAATTATTTGTTGAAAGTGAAAATGTGTTTAGTTGAACAGATGAGCATTCACCAGTTATGAATGTGTGAAATTGAAAGTTTTTATTACCTTAAAATGTCTCCAATTCTGGAGATTTCGGTGATATGGCACCATTTTGGCAAAATGCATTGAAGTCAAAAGGGAAGTCTAAATTAAAGTTGTTTTTAGTGGTGGTGTTTAAGGATGCAATGAGCTTTAAATGGCTCCTGGGAGTTATGAAGGATCCTTTTAACTATATTGGACCTGCTCTTGTGAAAGCAAATAAAAAAATTAGATGTCATGCAAGGGAGTACCAAGGGTGTAAGGATGAGGGACATACACAGGCAAAAAAAAACCTTGCATATATTCTGCCACACTATGCGGGCCGTGGAACAGTCAAGTGAATCCCACACACATCTGAGATTCTGCAGGCTATCCTACAAGCTAGAATCCTTGTGTTATCACTTCTCCCACTGCCACATGCCCACAAACATCAGACACACTGCTTGCAGTTTGTCAGTTGACTGGTCTACTAGGCAACAATATACACACAAACAAATATCTCTGGTAGATCTGATAGTTTACACCCACTGACTCTAATCTGCATGCAATCAGCACTACACATTGCAATTTCATCCAGATTAACAGTTAATTTATACCAAGCATACAGACACAGGTAATACAATGTACCAATCTGTAAAGGAGTATGAATTTTCAGCTTAGTAAAAGATAGAAGAAGGCACTTATAATTCAATAATGTTGTGTCCCTAGACAGGCAGGGCATATATATATATATATATATATATATATATATATATATATATACACAGTACAAAGGTGAAAATTACAAAAATACTAGAAAGAAAAAGGACATACAATAATATTGTGTTTAAAGTAAGAGAGGAGAAAAATTTACCGTATTGGCAGTATTGTTATATCCCATTGGTGGGAGACCCTGGAAACCGTGAAACGCTGTGTCTGTGAATGCACTCTCCCAGAAGAATACAATGTTCATTTTTTCATACTACCTAATTTATAGAATTTATAGAAGAATGATGTGAGATGGACTTATCCTCTGTGGCCAGTCACCTTTGGAGGTGTTACCTCCTCTGCTCAGAGTCAGGTTCGGGTCTCCTGAAGTGGCCATAAGCCTTATGGACTGTGCAGTTCTGATGGTTGAGGTCAGGATTTTGACATAAGAACATAAGCCTAATCCAAACAAGTCCACACACTGCTTGGCCGACATGATTAGGCTCCAAATAACTGTTTTGTTGGTCCCTAGGTGGCTTTGTATAATCAGGACATGCAATTTTGTACTTGTTTGTAGTCCTAATACATATTATCAGAAGGAACCAATCTCCCTGCAGTTAATATTTTAAACTAATGCAGGCCATAGACGGGTCGAAAATCGGCCAAAAAAAAAATCTGCCGATTTTCGCACAGTTAGTGGGTTAATTGGCCGGCCGTTTTTTCGGGGTTTTGGCACATTTGTTTTATCAGTAAAGTTGGAAAAAATCGGCCGATTTTGCCAATAGGCTGATTTTCCCGGCAATGATGGGCAAATTGGCCGATCGTTTTACCAACAAAAAATCTGCGCATGAGCCGTGACCTGCAAGAAGAAGAAAAAGAAGAAGAAAGAGAAGAAGAAAAAGATGAAAAAGAAGAATTCCAGTCCGCTATTATATTTGACATGAAAAAGTATTGCGCTTGCAACAATGTATCTATTTGTATCCGGATAAAAACATCTGTATCCAAAATGGATACAAATGGATACATTGTTGCAACCACAATACCTTTTCATGTCAAATATAATAGCGGAGCTCTCTGCAAGGGACAGAAGTAATTAAATGCCGTCCGTAGACGATTTTTTTTACCGTTGGTGATAACGTCGGACTATTGAACGACCGATTTTTTTTTTTTTTTTTTTTTTTTTTATTTAAATAGCCGGTTTTCGACCTGTCTATGGCCTGCATTAAGCCTAGTACACATGATCAGAAAGCCATATGAAAAATATCTCTTTCGAAACGATCGTACGATAATCTGATCGTTAGTACACAGCTTTTGTCTGAAAAGGGAAAAGCATGAAAATGTTTCTCGTACAATACCAGATCTTACAATTTTTGTTTAATCAGTCCAGTTTTCGTACAAAAATACAATACAAATACATTACATCACTACCGAATTTTAATTCTGTCATACAAGAATTTTGGGAACTGTAGTAACCTCTTCACTTTCGACATGAGACCTGCATGCAAAAAAACCTGACTATCATTCATCCAATATTCTCATTGTGTGTACAGGGCTTAAGGGCTGATGAGGTGACAGTTGTCTACCCTGATCTGCACATAAGCCTACAAGACCTGTCAGAGGGTTGT